TTAGGACATAGTCCATCACCTTCTCAGTCTGCTGGATTCCTGAATAAAGTCACTTTCCTTACCCCAGCATCTTGCCTCTCCACTTATTGACCTGTTCCACTATGAGTGGAACAAGCTTGGACTTGGTTACATCACCACTTTCCCTCCAGAGCTGGATGTGTTCTCTGAGGGCCTGACCCCTTCTTCCCCGAGAACAACTTATTTTAACTTGGGCTTTCTTCCCCAATCTTTCTACTCAGAAAGATTTGAGATGGAAGGACGATGGAACCTTAGTCTTGGGCCATGGCCCTGTTTCAGGTGGATAAAGTAATGAAGATAATGGCAATCATATTCAACTAAAAAAAAAAAAAAATCCTGTGGGGCACCTGGGTGGCTCAGTCGGTTAAGCGGCTGCCTTTGGCTCAGGTCATGATCCCAGTGTCCTGGGATCAAGTCCCACTTTGGGCTCCCAGCTCAGCAGGGAGTCTGCTTCTCCTTCCCCCTGCTCTTGTGCTTTTGCTTGTTCTCTCTCCCTCTCAAATAAATAAAATCTTTTTTAAAAATCCTGTATAGGGGCGCCTGGGTGGCTCAGTCGTTGAGCGTCTGCCTTCGGCTCAGGTCATGATCCCAGAGTCCTGGGATCAAGCTCTGCATCGGGCTCCCTGCTTAGCAGGAAGCCTGCTTCTCCCTCTCCAACTCAATCTCTCGCTGTGTCTCTGTCAAAAAAATAAATAAAATCTTAAAAAAAAAAATCCTGTATAACATCAAATTGCTACTTTTTAATTTTGCTCCAGTATTAACAACACTGGATTTATCCCACTCTGTCCACCCACTCCCTGGCCCTTTAAGGTAGGGTAAAGCTAGCTGGCATACATGGACTACATTTATAGGGATTCTGTCCAATATGAGTTCTTTGATATTCAATAAAGTGAGAATTCTAGTTGAAAGATTTTGCACAGTTGTGACACTCATGAGATTGCTCTCCAGTATGAGTTCTCTATGCCTAATAAGTAAAGAACTCCAGCTGAAAGATTTTCCACACTGAGGATACTCATGCAGTTTCTCTTCAGTATGAATTCTCTGATGAGTAACAAAGTGAGAACTCCGACTGAAGTATTTCCCACACTGAATATATCCATAAGGCTTCTCTTCAATGTGAGTTCTCTGCTGTGAAATAAAGCCAGAGCTCTGAAAGAAAGATCTCCTATATTGACTATACTCATAAGGCTTCCCTCTATTATGCTTTCTTTGATAAATATTAAAATCAAAGATGTGACTGAAAGATTTCCCAAACGAATTACAACAGAATAGTTTCTCTTCAGTGTTAGTTTTTGATGCCTAATTAGTTGAGATGTCCTACCAAAAGCTCTACCACATTCATGACATTCATGGGGTCCCTCTCCAATATGAATTATATAATATCTAACAGGGAAGTCCAGCGGAAAGGCATCCCATGTTGATTATTCATAGTTTTTCTTGGGGATGAGTTCTTTAGACTGTTGAATAAACTTTATTGACAAATTTTCTGAAATTGAAGCATTCTTGTATTCCTGAAATAAACTGGTCATAGTGTTTTGCTTTAGATACACTGCTGGTTTGATTAAATACTTTCTTTTCTCTCTTTTTAAAATATTTTTAACATATATTTATATTCGTAGATGAGTCTGGATGATAAATTTCTTTTTTATACCATCTATCAGATGTGGGTATTATGTTATCTTCATTTAATATTGTGTGAAGCTGTCCATTTTGTTTTGATGTGGAATTATTTAACAATTTGGAATAGTTAATGTTAGATTTAAAGTCAGCTATAAAGTCTCCTGGGCTTTGTGTCCATGTCACTTCCATGATAATTATTCTATTTGAGTTTTCTGCTGCTTCTTGGGTCACTTTTGTTTATTTATATTAGGAAAGTGTCCATATAGTTCTGTGTAAGGTCTTATAATTCATCTTTTCTGTACCTGAGGTTATCTTTTTTCTCATTTATAATATTTTTGTTTTCTGAATCAGGCTTGGGAGGGGTTTATCTATTATCTTAACCTTTCCTTTCTCTTCATTCTCCATTTCATTAACTTTGGCTTTAATCTCAATTAACTTGATAAATGTTTCATTTTTGGTTTTTTATTACTGTTTTTCCAATTCCTTAAAGTAAAATATTCTTTTTGATAATTCTACTTTAATAATACAGCCAAGGCCATAATTTTTCCTGTTATACAGCTTAGCTGTGCACCATTTATTTTGTTGTGTTCTCATTTTTATTATTTAAAAAAAAAGATTATTTATTTGAGAGAGAGAGAGAACGCACATGCATGCATGAGTGCCAGGGGAGGAGCAGAGAGGAAGAGAGAAATCTCAAGCATACCCTCTACTGATCGCAGAGCCTGATGCAGGGCTTGATCCCACAACCCTGAGATCATGACCTGAGCTGAAATCAAGAGTCAGATGCCCAATGAACTAAGCCACCCAGGAACTCCATGTTCTCTCTTTTAAGGTAGTTTATAATCTGATTTTATTTTCTCTTTGGTTCAAGGATTAGTTTGGAAGTTATTTCTTAATGCTCAGGAAATTAAGATAATTTTATAATCTTTTTATTATTTACCTATACTTTATTATTTACTCATACTTCTGTTAATTTATGATCAGATAATGTCACCTATAAAAATTTATACTTTAATATTAAAGTTTTTTGTGATTAAGCACACATATATTCTTGAAAGCATAGGGTACAAAAATCCTATATACACCTATTAAATTGAACTTATTAATTTTTATTCAATTTTTCATTGTTTATTTCATATACTAGATATGTCTGATTCCAAAGGCAACATATTAAATTCCTTCTCCACAATTGCTTTTTCTTTTCTTTGCTCTAATCAAGTTCTCCTTGTATCTCAAATTGATTTTTGTTTTAAGTGCCATTTTTTAGTTGCATATAGGTTTTAAATTATAATTTCTTCTTTTACAGTACCTTGCTCACACCGAAATGTCTTTGCTCTCTTCAAACCTCTTTTTTTTTTTTTAATTTTATTTATTTGAGAGAGGGAGCGAGAGAGAGAGCACAAGCGGGGGTGAGGGGGAGGCAGAGGGAAAAGCAGACTCCCCACTGAGCAGGGACCCTGACACAGGGCATGATCCCATGACCTGAGCCGAAGGCAGATGCTTAACCAACTGGGCTACCCAGGTGCCCTTCTTTTATGATCTTCCATTGGCCATATTTTTCTAAGTATAATTGAAGCCCCTATGAGCGGGTGGATGATTCTCATGTGGCCTTTGAATTGTTTTCTCCAGGCATTCAAGGACTGCTTGTTGAGCAAGTGACCCAAAGCATGTACATCTCCCAGCTCTGCCACTTCTACTTCTGTCCCTTTGCACAACTTGCTGAGTTTCCTTCTGTTCACCCACAAATCAGGAAGAATACTGCCGGCCTGGGAAGGTTATTGTGCGCACTGAGATACTGAAATGAAGCCAGGGCTCTGATGGTTGTCCAGATTGTTGGCTGTCATTAAATGCCAGCTTTGAAGAGTAATAAGGGGGGTTGTTTCTGTGTTCTGTGATCCGAGGCTCTGAGGAAAGCCAGGTCTCAGCTTGTGAACTAGGCCATTTTCTCCAGCCTTCAGATGACTCATAATTCTACCTCATCCATTTCTACAAGTGCAGCTGCCTCTCCCCCAGATGTTACATTTGCATCCTTTTCTAGCAGACAACAGTCCTTGTCTCAAGCTCACAAAAAAAGTCTGAGCATCCTCCTCATCCAGACTGTTAGACTTTTCCTCCCTAACCAATCTCCACATTTCTGTGAGAACTGAGATTCATTCCACTAGAATCAAACCACTAGTTCCCTTTAGGTTGCCAACCCCAGGCACAGTGTCTGCCCCCATACCCTCCAACAGATCCAGTGCTTCCCATTGAGATACACCATCCCTTATGGCACAGATCAGCACCCACCGATAGAAACTTGCAAATCATGTATAACCCATGCTTTAGTTTGCTATCAATGCAGAAACAAATTACCACAAAGTTAGTGGCTTGAACAATACAGATTTGTTATTTTACCATCCTGGAGGTTAGAAGTCTATCACTGGGCTGAAATCAAGGTGTCTCCAGGACTGTGTTCATTCTGAAGGCTCTAGAAAATGAGTCCATTTCCTTGCCTTTACCAGCCTTTAGAAGCCACTCACATTCCTTGGCTTATGGCCCTGCATCACTCCAATCCCTGCTTTTGTCATCATCTCTTCCTCTCTTACTCATACCCTTCTGTCTCCCTCTTATAATGACCTTTGTGATGACACTGGGCCCATGGGGATAATCCAGGATGATCTCCCTGTTTCAAAATCCTAACATAATTGATCACAACTGCAAAGTCACTCTGGCCATCTGAAGCACCATTTTCACAGGTTCTGGGGACCAGCAGTGGACATCTGTGGGGCCGTCACTGTGCCTCCCATGATCCCCCAGATTCAAAGACACTGAGCCCTGATGGCAAACTCGTGAATGTAATGGTGAGTGCTGCTGATATGAATTATGTGTGGGCGGGAAAAGATGGGAAACCACCAGCTTCATATATTCAAATCCTGCATCATCTCAACCTACTTTAAGGGAAGTGGGAACTCTTCACTTCAGAGATGAATTTCTCTGGCCTTCTAAAGCAGTCAACTGGATTTCAAATTTGGTCACTTTCAGTAAATGACCCCAAACCTCAGGGGCCCTGGATGAGCTGCTAGGCAAGCTCACCCTCATCTGTTCACCCCCTTAGGGGATGATTTCTCCTCTCCTCATTCACCACCCAACATCATGTAGCCTTGTCACAGTTTCAGCTGATAACACCACTTCCATTTCCCTGAGGAAACAGAAAACCCCAGCATCCTTAATGACCTCATCTCATGGAAGTTACACAGCTTGACTTCTGCCAACCCTGTGGATGGAAGCAGTCACAAGCCCAGCCAGATTCTAGGAATGGAGCAAAGGCAACGCATTTGTGGCCATATCTGAAACCACCACAGATGTGAACGCAGTCAGCTCACCTCCTTCAGTGACCATCTTCTGGCAACACATCAGTGTGTGACGTTTCAGGATGAATTGACCTCGTTTCAGGACATGGCTGCGGCCTTCACTAGTGGGCACTGGGCATCATTGTGAGGTCACTCCCAAGGTGAATAGACATCCCTACATCATCAGGACTTGGAAAAGGAACTGCTGATGTTCTCCATTCAAAACTGCTCTGTCTCCCCTGGAAAGATCTCCCAACTGTGTAGTGGGAGGGCAGCACTGGTAAGTTCTTCAGCCCCTATATGTTTAATCTCTCAGAGAAGTTAGCACGTGGGGGCGCCTGGGTGGCTCAGATGGTTAAGCATCTGCCTTCGGCTCGGGTCATGATCCCGGGGTCCCGGGATTGAGCCCCACGTCTGGCTCCTGATTCGGCGGGGAGCCTGCTTCTCCCTTGCCCTCTGTCTCTCCCCGCTCATGCTCTCGCTCTCTCTCTGTATCTCTCTGTTTCAAATGAATAAATAAAATCTTTAAAAAAAAAATTTTAAAAAAGAAGTTAGCACGTGAAGATGTTTAAATGTGATATAGCAGCCCTGCGCCCTATGCCTGATGCATGATTCAGGCAATAGGACAGCTGGTGTGCCATCAACATTCTCCAGGCACCTGGCCTCCTGGCTCCTCTAGCCTGTCTCCAGGGGCTCTTCATTTCTGTAGAGAAAGGAGTGAGACTCTCTCACTCCAGAAGGCATGACTGTGCCTCACCCTTGTCAGCATGAGCCCAAGGGCTCTTAAGAGGTGTGCTCAGCAGCATTCACCCAATATCTGATGAGTATAAGTTCAATTAGAACACGTTTTGAAATATTATGCACAACTCAAAGAGAGCAGAGGTGAAGTTGTGGAGCAAGGGGTGGGATGGCTGCAGGTTACAGGCTGTGTGATGGGAGAAATGATTTTAATCTGTCCTTTCACGTAAAAAAAATGAAATGCGGGCATCAAACACATGCCCTAACGCTGCCAGTTTCCTGCTGCTTAACTTGGTGATGAGCATCCAGCCAGGGTAGTTCCTTCCCTTGAAGGAGTCCTGTAGGAAAAGTGGAAATGTGAATCGAATGAACATTCCCGGGAATTGCTCACGCTGGCCTGGGGTTTCCTTCCCTCTAGGTCTCCAATGGTTGTTCAAGATTCCCATTCCCTGAACCTAACATTCCCTGCATGTTGATGATGTTCTAAGGATCAGAAAGAGCCACTCATCCTAAACTCATTTGGAATCTTGGGCCGGAGGGTCTGCAGCCTTGCATGGAGTCTTCTAGAACTGGTCCGACAATGTGTTTTGTTTTAATGCTGCTTAAATATCAAATTATTAATGAAAAGATATTTAACAGGTGGTAAAAACACAGATTCTATCACAGAAATAGTTTATTTATCCTTGTTCTCTTTTAGTCCTTGTCCATATGCATAAATACTTTACCACAAATATAGTATCAGTGCACAGAATTTTTGGTACCTGGCTTTTCAAACTTACATTATAAGCATTTTCAGGTTTCACTAGTATCATTTTTAATGACCAAATGAGCAAATTGTAATAGCAAATCAAGTGAGTGAAAAATTAAATGTTTTTCCAACCTATATTCATTAGCAACGACTCCCCACCAATTTGCTTATTTACTCATGGGCAGGGTGGTCTCCCTGGTTGTCCTTTGGTCTTGAGAACTTCATCACTCAATGCTGCTTTTCACATTCAGTTCTGAATGCCAACCAGATCTGTTCGTGTTACGTTGCAGGATCAGGCTGAAAAGGCATTGTCTCTTCAACTGGCTCAGCCGGAGGGCTATGAGGTAGGCTGTTTCTTCTTGCATTTCACCCCACTGTGTGTCTTCTGATGCCCAATGAGGTGTGAGCTCTGGGTGAAGGCCTTTCCGCATTTGTTGCACGTGTAGGGGCGCTCCCCGGTGTGCGTTCTCTGGTGCCTGATGAGATGGGAGCTCTGGCGGAAGGCTTTCCCGCAGTCCTGGCACTGGTAGGGCTTGGCTCCGGTGTGAGTCCGCAGGTGCTGGGAGATGGCCGAGCGGTCATTGAAGGTCCGGCCACACTCATGACATTCAAATGGCCTCTCTCCTGTGTGGACTCTCTGATGCTGTGTGAGGGAGGAGCTCTGAACGAATGCCTTCCCACAGTCCTGACACACATACGGCTTCTCTCCTGTGTGGATTTTTTTATGTACAGAGAAGTATCTTGGGTTTCGGAAAGTTTTGCCACATTCGCTGCATCTGCAAACTTGGCTCCCTTTGTGGATTCTTGTGAATGTGATCTGCTGAGCGCTCCGGTTGAAGGCTCTCCCACAACCACTATTTTCTCTGGCTTTTTCCCCTTTGTGGCCCTTCTGATGAACTTTTACACATGGACCGCGCGTCACCTTCTTAACCTGCGAGCCACGCTTGCGCAAGCGTTTTCTAGGGAGAGTTTTCTGGAGTGAGATATGGCTTTTGACAAGGCTAGTGTTTCCCCGGGATGGGGAGCTTTTCTGAGGGAGGGTTTCTTCCTGAGTTGGCCCCACCTGCTTCAGTACTGTGTCCAAGACTTCCTGGGCCTCACCCTGTGAGACGTCTCTTGACGTAGAGGACCAGGTGTCATCCCTTGAGAATTCTTCCATTTTCAGGTCGTGGGCTGGTTCTTTCTCAGGAATGTCAGACTTTGGAGTTAACTCTTTACTTTCCAGTGTAGACTCCCACCCTGAAAGTACCCAAAAGGTGTGGATATAGTAGAGAGAAACTGCTAAATGGGCTGACAGTATGACATAACCAAGTATTCAAAAGTTGTTGGTTTTTTTTTCCAAGTACAGTCATACAACCTGGGGGAAGTATGAAAAGCAGTGAAGCAACAGAGAGGAACATGAGCTTGGCAATCGGGGATGGGGCTAGAACTGGGAGCACTCTCCTGGCTCTCCGACTCCTCTTATGCCTTCAAGGTGGGCAGCAAGTCAGTCCTTCACTGGACCTGAGGCTGCTGCCGTCCACACAATGCCCACCCCTCTAGGTCCACAGGGCCGGCTGAAGGCATGGACTGTGCATGGAACATTCGAGGGCATGCCCAGTTCTCACACTAGGCCCAGAGAAGACAAGAGCCCCAACTCAGGGCCTCTGGTGCTCCCAAAACCACAAGAATGGAATGGCCAGCATGGGCACAGCCTTACCCACAGAGACCAGGTGTCCAAAGGTTTCCAACATCACATCGTGGTACTCGGTCCTCTGCGTCGGGTCCAGCAGCCCCCACTCTTCCTTGCTGAAGTCCACGGCCACATCCAGGAAGGTCACTGGTTCCTGTAATGCCACAATCTGTGCCTGCTCAGCAGGAGGGTCATTGACAGGGACAGAAGGAAGGACGACTGGGGCCTCCCAACAGAGTCCGCTGTGCTGAGGACGCTCCTGCTCTGGGGTTTGTTTAGAAACACTGACTTGGGCCGTAAGAGGCCCAGAGAGTCCATTCTCACAAAATCAGAGGCCGGGGCCCAGGCTGGAGGCAGGTCCTTGCTTCACTAGGAGCTACAAGTGCCGTAAGCAGACTGCCTCCACTCTACCCAACCCTGTATGCAGCTCACCCTTTCCCTGCAACTTCCCACAGAAGACTGCCCCCAAGACAAGCCCCCTCCTAGGCACACCCCGTTCTCCTGGGAATAGTCCCTCCACATGTGGGAGAACCAGCCCCTGCCTTTGTGGACTGGGGCTGCTTCGGGGTGGGGTGGCCGGAGGCTGCGCTGAGATCAGTCCTTTCTGGGCAGCTGGCCAGAACTCTGGCATGAAGAGGGCTTCCAATGGTACTCTACCTGGATCTGGGAGGCCTTTTGCCCATGAGGGGCAGAGCCTGCTTCAGAAAGAAGGAGAGAAAGCAGAACCATTAGACCAGGACTAGACAGGTGTTCCTCTCTCTCATCACCTGGAAGCCCCTGAAAACAGCCTTGCCTAAAGCCTACTTCAGACCACTGATTATGTGAGAGCCAATAAATTCACCTTATGCTTGAGCCAGTTGCGAGCCACTTGCAGCAGAATCTTGAGAATGCCACGCACGGCATCATTCGGTCGTACTCTCTGACCTCCATAGTTAGCAAGACAGGGGTACTGCTGTTTCATTTGTGCCCTGGCTCTGGGCTATTTCTGAAGCAAATCCCAGACATTTTTTCTATCATAAACACCTAAATATGCATTTCTGAAGGACAAGGGCTCTCTTGTTCTCACCCAGATCCAGACATGGTCTGCATGCCCCTGCCTGGGGCTCCCAAGTGTCTATAAACACTTGGCCCCTTCCTTTTGCTTCCAAATTTCTTGACTTCCAGTCACTGTGCCCTTTCTTGGTCTCCGTGGTGGCAGCAAGGCAGTCCAGCCCTTCACGCTCAGAAACTCTGAAAGGCCTGGCTGGTGGAAGATGGGGTATGGGGGAGGTCACCTCACAGGGGATGCTGTGACCAGAGAAGGAAGGGGTGGCACTCCCCACTCACCTCAGGTGGTGCCTTCGCTGGCCAGGTAGTCATGTGCTCCTCCTCCTCTTCCTGAGGAGCTGTGGTCTGGAGAGAGCAGGTGGGGTCCTGGGCAGGTAATGCTGGGAGACATGAGCACAGAGTCAGCCAGGTGTAGTGCTACATCCAGGACAGGGCAATGACAGCCATGTTTCTCTCTGGGACCCATGGGGCCAGCACACACATCGTATCCTGCTGTTGCTGCTGTGAGGGCTTCTGTGCCCACCCTTTTCCTCACCAGCTCAGGTCCCCACTCTGGCTCCTCTTCACAGCCCATGGCCCAAATCCCCACACCTGGATAGCTCAGGGTGCATCACCCCATGTGACTATAGGGCACTGGTGTCCCCACTGCTGAGACCCCGATCTCACTCCCTCCCTCTCCAAGAACTGTTCTGGACCCAGTCCCTCTTCCGAGGCAGCTGCCTCATCTCCCCATTCGCCTCAGCAGCTGGCCTCACACCTGTCCTCAGAAGCAAAGACCCCATTTCTGGCCTCCAAGTATTCCACACTCTTCCTCTTTCCCCTTTCCATGGAGATTGGGACTTCCTCTGATTCCCAGGACTGGACCTATTCTTGTAACACACGCCCATCTTGATGAGAATTTTATCAAGTTTCCTCCACCTCAGAAAACAGTTCTACCTGGCTTTACGGCCCCCTTTCAATCACAGCTGCTTCATGCCTGACTCTTCATCTGTCCCCAACTGGTCCATGGGCTTCTATAATGATGACTCCACACCCACTATCAAGGGGAACACATGACGTGACCCAGGCTGGCCCACCAGGCTGCTGCTTTCTTCTGGCCACAATGATTAGATCATGCATGAATACAGGGCCCACAGCTAGACAATCAGAGCCAAAGAGGCTTTTGTTGGAACACTTAGGAAAGAGCACTCTGTGCAGGGAGCCCCCACATGGAGACAGCTTGCCTGTGAGTGAAGCTGACAGACGCCAGCAGAACTATGATAGAGGAGAGAAGATGAATCCTGAGAACACTACAGGAGCTCCTGGGTCCAGCCATGCCTAAAGCTTGTAGATCGCCCTGGGACTTTTTGAGTAGATTCTCCTCCCTGGGCAATCACAACCAAGAGTCCCAACTAACTTGCTGATCACAAATGCAGGATTCTCAGAGTTCTCTGGAAAGCCTCTTCCCACCGTCCTCTGTGATATTAACTGATTTCCCATCCACCCCCAAGATGTAAAATGTAAGACCGACTGGCTTTCATCTCATGAGCTCTACAACTGTCTCCTTGGCATCTCTATCAGTTTCCTATTGCTGTAACAACTTGCCACAATAGTGGCTAAAAACAATGCAAATTTGATTTCTTATGATTACAGAGATTAGAAATCTGACACCAGCCTCACTGGGCTAAAATCAAGGTGTTGGCAGGGCTACCTCCCTTTTGGAGGCTCTGGGGGAAAATATATTCCTCACCTTTTCCAGTATCTGGAGGACACCTAAAATACTTGGCTCCTGGCCCTTCCTTGTGACACCCTGCTTCGGGGTCACGTGTCTTCTCCACCTCTAATGTTCATGACTGCCTCTTTGTAGGTACCCTTGTGATTACATTTGGGCCCACCCAAATAATCCAGGATAATCTTCCCATCTCGAGATCCTCAATTTAATCAATGGCATCTGAAAAGTCACTTTCACTGTGTGAGGTTACATATTCGGGTAAGCAAGGAAGCAGTGTCCGTGTTCCATGGAACTCAGCCTGACAGAAATCAAGTTTCATGCAATCTCACCCCCAAATGCACCCTACACATACACTCCCATCTCAGCTCCCCACCACTGTCACTCCTGCCCTAGCCACACCTCGAGGAGGGCATGGTGACAACTCTGGGTGGCCAATCTGCTTCTCATTTTGACCCTGTTCTCCATCCACCATCCAGAGCAAGCTGCACCCTGGTAAATCTTTAAAGCTCAATCAGAGTATGTCACATACCTCTAGGGAGGGCTCATGGATCGGTTCCCACTGCTTTAGAATAACACTTCTCATTGCTTTAGAACAACATGAAAATCTCTTCAAGGGCCCTGCCAGCCCTGCCCTGCTCCCTTCTACTAGAGACCTACCCAATTTCTGATTTTGGAGTATACTGTTATTGCTCCCATTTTGGGCCTTCACAGGTGATGCTCCCCTGCTTGGCACATCCTTCCTGCCCACTTCTTCTTCTTTTTTTTAAGATTTATGTATTTGCAAGAGAGAGAACATGCATGTGCATAATTGGGGAAGGGGGAGAGGGGAGCTGGAGAGGGAGAGAAGCAGACTCTCGGCTGAGCATGGAGCCTGCCCTGGGGCTTAATCTCATGATCTGAGCCGAAATCAAGAGTCAGCCACTTAACTGACTGAGCCACCCAGGCGCCCCCTTCCTGCCCACTACTGAGTTCCACTCCACACCAAGTGTTGGCTATAGCAACTTGCCTCCAGGAGCCCCGCCAGCACCCTTGAGTTCTTCTCAACCCCACCATTGTCACATGCATATTTGTTTGTCAAATTCCCATCGTTCCTGCTGGACCTAAGGTTTGTTGAGCTCATGAGTCTAAGTCTTGACTGTTTTGGTCACCACTTTACCCACATCCCCCACCAAGTGCAAGACATCAGAAGGCACTCTGGGAGGGGCGCCTGGCTGGCTCAATTGGTAGAGCATGTGACTCTTGATCTTGGGATTGTAAGTTTGAACCCCACGTTGGGTGTAGAAATTACCTGAAAAAATAAAATCTTAAAAAAAAAAAAAAGAATGCATTCTGGGAATATGCCTAAGTGACTAAAATCATGTTTTCTATTAGTTGTAGTGCAGCAGGGATCCCAAAAGGGTAAAAATGAAGGATTTAAATGTAAGCTTCTCTCAGAAGCCTGGGGAGGGCTGGTTAAAGTGTAGTCCCAGACCCTACCCAAAGGTTTCAGTAGCTGTGAGGTGTGGCCTGAAACTTTCCATTTCCAGAGATAGGTCCAGGGATAAGACCATTCTCAGATCCCTTGACCTAGAGACAATGGTAGGTACTTCAGCAAGGAAGTATCTAAAGTTCTGACTCAGGAACATGTTCAGGAGGCAGACGCCCTTGGCCTAAATGGAGAGAGCATGACCCTTCCCCGACCTCTCCCAGGAAGCCTTAATTCTTCCTTCCGCCATCCTCCAAGATGCCCCCAACAGGAGTGTCTCTCACCACCCGTCCATTGCACTTACTTTCCTCCTCAGATATCCAGGTTACATCCTCCACCAGGGACACTGCCTCCTGACAGTCCTCTGGGTGCTGCGACTCCACCCACATCCGGAGCTTCCTGGGCAGTGCACCCAGGAACTGCTCCAGCACCAGCAGCTCCAGCATCTGCTCCTTGGAGTGCGCCTCGGGCCGCAGCCACTGGCGGCACAGCTCCCGGAGCCGGGCCAGGGCCTCTCGGGGACCCGCCACTTCCTCAAAGCAAAAGCCCCGGAACCTCTGGTGCGCGGCTTCAGGGTCAGCCGGATGCTTGCCTAGCTGTTGAGTGGGCTCCCTGAGCACATCTGGGCTCAGGCCCTCATCTTCAGCATAGAGGGCCCGGATCTGGGCGTTTCGGGGACGAGCTATCTCTTGGTTCAGTGTGAGGACTTCAACAACTTTGATCTTCATCAGGGGATTCCCAGCAGGAAGAGGATCCAATTGAGGGTCCAGCTGAGCTGCAGGATACTCTGTCAGTCAAAAGCACAGCCAGACAGATGGCCAACAAGCACATGAAGACGGTCAACATTATTTGCCACCAGAGAAATGTAAATCAAAATCACTGTGAGATACTACCTCATACTCACTAGGATGACTATTACCAAAGACAGACGGTAACAACTATTGGTGATGATGTGGAGAAACTGCTGTTGGTGGGAATACAGAATGCTGCACCATTTTGCAAAACAGTCTGACAGCTCCTCAAAAACTTAAACATAGACTTATATTATGACCCAGGAATTCTCCTAGGTATGCATCCCAGATAAACGAAAACAGATGTCAACACCAACACTTGTACGGGAATGTTCATAGCAGCATTATGCATAAGAGCCAAAAAGAGAAACAACTCAAAATGTCCATCAAATGAAGGGTGGATAAATTAAATGTGGTCGGGGCGCCTGGGTGGCTCAGTCGGTTAAGTGACTGCCTTCGGCTCAGGTCATGATCCTGGAGTCCCAGGATCGAGTCCTGCATCGGGCTCCCTGCTTGGCAGGGAGTCTGTTTCTCCCTCTGACCCTCCTCCCTCTCATGCTCTCTGTCTCTCATTCTCTCTCTCTCAAATAAATAAAATATTAAAAAAAAATTAAATGTGGTCTACCCACACAATGGAATATTATTTGGCAGTAAAAAGGAATGAAGTACTGACCCATGCTACAGTACGACTAAACCCTGACAATACTATGCTGAGTGCAAGAAGTCAAACACCAAAGGTTATTTATGGTACGATTCCATTTACATGAAATGTCCAAAAGAGACCAATATAGACACAAAGTAGATCAGTGGTTCCCGGAGATAGAGCATTGAGGCATTTGGGGGGTGCTGGCTAATGAAGTTTTTTTGGAGGGTGATGAAAATGTTCTGAAATTAGATTGCAGTGATGGCTACACAACCTTGTAAATATAATAAAAACCACTGAACTGTACACTCTCAACAGGTGAACTTTATAAATTATATTTCAAAACAGAGGGGAAGAAAAGAAGAGGCAAGGAGGATCAAGAAGAGACCTATGATGCTGTATAGGTCTGCAGCCACACACAGGAAATAGAACCTGATCCTGCCTCCATGGGGGCCAAGAAGATGACTGCGAAAGTCAGGGGCTCTATGTCAGAAGAGCATCTGCTGAACACAACCCTAGAATGGCCCCAAAATGCTAAGGAGGACACACACACCAACAGGACGTGAGAAAGCTCTTTACAACTCCAAGAAGAAGTGCTAATTGACTAAATGACTTAAAAGCTTGAAAAACAGTAAACAGAAAAAAATGTAACCACGGATTATAGTTTACTTCCAATTAGATGTTGATTTATAAACACAGAAATGTCAGGGCTGATGTCTGTCAAGAACAAATGGACCCTCTCAACCTTGCTGTTTTGAATATACATGATTAGCACAATTCTACCTGGAAGGGAATTTACAGCATGAACTCAAAGCCTGAGCAACGAATGCCCAGGGAAATACCGGGGGACTTTCACCAGATTAATCTACTCGTGGTCAGGGAGCTCTCCAAAGAGGACACAGATGTAAACACACCAAGGGAATGAGTATTCGGAGACAAAGGCCAGACCACATATGACGGTAGAACTCTGACACTGAAACCTGTGGCAACAAGCCCAGACCGTCAGGACTTGTTTAACGACTGCCAGTTTCTCTTTTCCACCCCGCAAGTCAGTAACCCCCAGTGAGAACGTTCCTTTTTTTCGCTGTAACTCTCCCCAGTCCCCGCCTCCCTTGCTGCAGTGGGCTCCCAGGAGATAGCCTCTGCCTATCCTCATTTGGGTGGTCTTTTTCCCACGACACTTTGCTGAGCAATGAATGGCATATGATGGCGCAAAACTGGAAAACAGGCAGTGTTAAAACACGGCTCAAGAAAATTGCGAAGGATTCATATGTAAGCATTAAAAATAACATTGTTTTTAGTGTGATGATTACAACGCAAGAAAGCTCCTGCCACGTGAAGCAAAAAAGCGGAGCAGGAAATTACTGGTGTGGAGTCACTGCAGCTGTGTTATTCAAAACAAAACAAAACACAAAAACAACCCAAGTCGTAAAGACACGAAGAACAGCCGCTGCCCGCCTAAGTCGCGCCAGGTTTTTTCTCCTCCGTGCCCATCATCCGAGCACCTGCAGATTAAATCGGCCGCCACGCATTTTTCTAAGCGGTGCTCGGCGGCTGGGCTTCCAGAAGCGCGGCGTTGCCGGGGAAGCGTCTCGGGCGGAGGCCGCAGCCACAAGCACACTTTTCCGCTCGCGTTCGGGAAACTGAAGCAAGCCTCCGTCCCCCTTCCCCCGGGGAAATGGGGCGACACCGCCGAGGTCCCCACAGCCAAGCCCGGATCCCCCCGTCCCGAAGAGCTCAGGCCGCCACTTCCGGCCGGGCCAAGAAGTGCGTCACGCGCCCGACACAGACGCACTACAACTCCCAGGAACCTCCGCGGCGCACGCTTCCGGTGCCGCCATGTTGAGGCTCTGGGTCCGGCCCAGGCCCTGACCAGACGGCGGCCCCTTGGCTAGTTGCTGGGCCCTGAGCTGCGGCCTCTTCCGCTCTCGTTCCCTCCCCCGACCCCCCGCGACGGCGGACGCGCCCTGGGACGGCGCGGGCGCAGCCGGAACTTCCACACCCACCTTGCTGATCTGCAAGTTTTCTTTGGGCAAGTGCGGGGCGGGGGAGAGCGCGGTCGCTTCCCCGAGGCAGCGATTCTCCCGTATTCCTAATCCATCTTCGTGCCCCCGATTCGAAATCCTGCCCCCGTTCCCGTAGGGTTTTCTTTTTTCTTCCCGCTCTCCAAATTTCCGGATTACAGACCTTGGCTCGTATGTCGTTTCCTCGGGTTACCGGTTTCATAAACCTAACTAGTGCTGGAAACTGCTGGCGCGCCACCCGAGAAGTGAGTCAGCTCGGGGTCAGGAGTCGCCCGCGATGGGTGGGGCCGCGCCCGCCGCCCCGGACGGGCCTTGGGCGCTTGGGGTTGCAAAACGCGTCCTGGGCCGCGCTTTTTAATCTTGGCCACAGCCACACTCCTTTCCTAGGTTTAAAGCGACTGTGTTCCTTGATAAAAGTAACTACAGCGTTGATCTCCATTTCCGACCTCTTCCCCTAAACTTCTGTACTAATTTCATTTGAGGGCTTCCCTTCCCAACTCGTTTATATCTGCCGTTGTATTTAGCATTTAATTCCCGTCCTGTTCCTTAGGACTTCTGGGGGTTCATCCCCCCCATTCTTGATTTGAAAGCAAAGTTCATGTATTCCCTTTCAGTTAGAGCTCTTAGAGCTTGAAATTTCCCCGAGTAACTCAGGAAGCCAGGGATGGCAATTTCCTCAATTCCCAAGCGGAATTCCGGGGGGAGGTAGCGCTCCCTAGTGGCTCCTTGCTGGGCCACGGGTACCATGTTGAGCAATAATCCTGCATGACACTTAAATTTTTTTTTTTATTCTCCACAATGCTTCCCAGCTTTCTAATTTCCAAAACTTGTTTTTTATTCCTTGGTTAATCACAGAGATTATTTAGTACTTTATCTCTTAAGAAATTAACTGTAGGTTCATTTTATTCCACTCCATCCCCCTTATTTCTCCTTTAATCCTGATCATGTATTTTGTTCCTCCTCTTATCCTTGGGGGCACCAGGGCAATTTCTCAAAATCTTGAACTGAATGCTCATTCAAAAATATTAACTCTTACCGTTTTAAGTTTTAGAGCCTCGGTAGGTTTGGTTGTTGGGAACTCTGATCATTGTGATGCTGAGAGGCTCAGTGGATCTGCAGTCTGGCTCTCCCTGCTGTTAGCAGCCCTTCAGGACAACACACATTCTGCAGGGTAATCGTAAAGCATCTACTGGGTGCTATGCAACGAGATGGGTCACAAGCCTGGAAGCCACTGGTAAGTGTCATTCTAGGCACTGCAGTTCTCTAAATCTCTTATTCTTTGGACCATCCCCTAACCACTGTCTGTGCCAGCAAGTATTCACCCCACTTCACAAAGAAGGTGAAACCTCTTAAGTTTACCAGCTGGCAGAGTTGGAAATGGATCCTCAACTCATGGGGCAAAGCTGGGACTGACTGACCCACTCATCTGCATGGAGCTACACAAAATAATCTCTATCAACTGCAGCTCCAAGTCCTGGTTTTCAATCCACCAACTGAATGATCTGGGGTAGGAAAAGCTGATAGGAGTTGCTGTCTTCTTCCTCCTCTTAGTTTTCTTCTTTCATGTTGTCTCTGCTGCTTCCCTTCCAGGGTAAACCATCTCTCCCTCAGTGCTCAATAGTTCATGACTTACCAGGTATACTAAGGCTACCAGTCCACAAATATAACAGTAACTAATAATAGTGACTTTTCACGATCTTGTTGTGGGCCAGGGTCAGGAAGAGTGCTTATCTCAGCTCCCCCCATCCCTGTGTACACTCCCTTGGTCCTTTTTTCTCCTTGTCCTGAATGCCCCCAGCTCTTCACCCTTTCTCCTCCTCTCCCCACACGCACTCTTCAGCTCTGCAGGCACCCCTTGGCATCACCTTCTAAGTTTTTTTACTCCACTGGACTGCTGAGGATGTCAACTGGGTCTTGTACATTCGAAACCCTAAAGCCAGGCCCAGAGGAGGATCTGTCAAAGGTGTTGATGATCATCTTTACATCAAAGTCTTTGAATAATAGTAGTTACTGTTACATGAAGGCCCCCCAAGACCTGGGCTTTACACACCACAGTCCCACTAAGCAATAGCATCCATCCTTCACACAAAGGAAATCCATGCTGGGAGAGCCTAGGAGCCCTGCGCAGGCCACAATGGGGAACACAGCAGCTGGGATCCAAACCCTGTTCTTTTATCTTAATTTTCCTCAAACGTGCCAAAGTGTGCCTTGTCTATAGGTATTTGTACTCCCCTCACTCCTGCCTCGTAGTATTTACCCTAACATCTTCACCTGGTATCCCCTTCCAGCTCTAAACTCAAGTATCAGCTCCTCAGAACTGTCTTCCTGCCCAGTTCTAAACTAGTATTGCCCACCCATGTCACTCCCCTCTAGCATATTCCATTGTTTCATTTTTCTTCAGGGCACTGACTGCCATTTCAAAGTATCTGCTTCATTATCACTCTCTACCTTCTCTACAGCACTGCCCAATGGAGCTCTCTTCGTTTAAAGAAATGTTCCAGATACACTGTCCAACATAGTAGTCTTTAGCTGCAGGTGACCAGTGACCATCTGAAAGATGGCCAATGTGACTAAGGAACTGAACTGTTTTAAGCTCATTTTAGTCTGTTTAAATGTAATCAGCCACATGCTAGTGGCTGCTCCAGAATAAATACAGGCCCAGTGAGACAAACAGGGGGCCTTACTACCCTGCTCAACACTGTGACCCACCCCTGTAACAGTATGTGGCATTTTGGCAGGTGCTCAAGCAGTATTTATTGACTCAACACAGCTTCAAAGAGTGACTTGAGTGTTTTAACTGTCTGGATTTTCCCATATTTCTGTCATATTACAAGGAATCTCACTAGCATTTTAGTTGTGTCCCACCTGTAAATTATAATGGGAGGACTGCTGTTGCTACAAAGTTCCCTTCTACTTGAGAGCCAGAGCAGGATGGGAGTGTAGGCCACCAAGTAAGAAGACACCTGGTCTATACTCCCCCTGCTTCTTCCCAGACCAGCCAGGTCAGAGACTTGCATTTCTGCTTCTGCTGGTAGAATGGCTACATCAACACTTCTCTAGAGGCTGCTGGCTGGAATGATGGTAGGACTTAAGAATGGGACTTCGTGGGCACCTGGGTGGCTCAGATGGTTAAGCGTCTGCCTTCGGCTCAGGTCATGATCCCAGGGTCCTGGGATCGAGTCCTGCATTGGGCTCTCTGCTCCTTGGGAGCCTGCTTCTCCCTCTGCCTCTCTCTCTCATGAATAAATAAATAAAATCTTTTAAAAAAAAAGAATGGGACTTCGTAACACTTCTAGCCTTTGTAAGTCCTCAAAAAGAAGTCACTGCACTCTACCTCTGAAACTAATGATTAAAAAAAAAAAAAGTCACTGCTTCTACTTATTCTATATCCAACTTAATTTTTTCAAATAGAAATTCCTTAATACTTTATTCCTTAAAAATTCCTAATCATTTCTTAAATAATTTATTCTTAGGGCACCTGGGTGGCTCAGATTGTTAAGCGTCTGCCTTAGGCTCAGGTCATGATCCCAGGGTCCTGGGATCGAGCCCCGCGTCGGGCTCCCTGCTCCTTGGGAGCCTGCTTCTCCCTCTGCCTCTCTGTCTCTCATGAATAAATAAATCTTAAAAAAATAATACTAATAATTTATTCTTAGATCCCATTTTAAACACCTACTAACAAAATCTTTCCTTTTAAATTGGCTACTCCTGGTATAAGCCAAAGCTATTAGTCTCTGTATTATTTTGTAATTTGTCACACTGATGAACAAACTGTTTCAGAGGATTAGTTTTTTTAAAGTGGTTAACTGTTAAGTTACAAATATTTCCTTTTTAATATTTTTCTTATTTTGTGCTTGAGTGAGAACAATGCTATGTATACTTTGCAAAGTCTGTCAACATTCCAGCCTGTTCTGTCATTGAACTGCTCATGTTCCATGGAAATTGTCTTTTAACAAGAAGTTGGAAAATATTCACTGTCCAGGTCAATAACAGGCAGATAGCCACTTTGTTCTAGAAAAGTTAACTTTAGTATTTTTCTGTGACCCACTTTGGACAACCTTACACTTTTCCAGAAATCTTTCCATTTTATTGTTTGCTCATTCTCACACTCAAGAAGTAATTCCTGGGCACTTATGTGTCAGGGACTTGTAACACAGCAGGAAAAAGATAGCAGTTTCCAATTTATCGGCATGGTTATGGGCAACACTTCTTAAAATGCAAAGTTACCCTCCCACCCAGTTTCCTTCTCAGGAAGTCCTCACAGCCTATCAGCTTCTATATTCAGTGATAACCAATGTGTATTTTTTTTTAAAGACACTGATATTACGTGCATCTATGTATCTTTATACATCTTAAACAATATATTTTTAAGAAATACATGTATCTTGGAAACTTTCATATCAGTACATAGACCTGGCTCATTCTTTGTTACAGCTGTACAAAGTATTATAAACTACACGTGTTGCTGAATGTGTGTGTACTGCTGTTTCCCCGTGTAGGTTTTTAATTTGCCTTTTGTCCTTTCAGAAAATTAGCTCTTGGGTTCTTTTTCTTCTTCTCCATTTTTGATTTATTTGAACTGTATTTATCTTTCCTCTTTCCTTAGGACTTTTGGAGTCAAATGCTTCTTAGTTCATTTGTTTTCCTTTTTTTTTTAAGCAATTTCTTCACCCAACATGGAGCTTGAACTCAAGACCCCAAGGTCAAGAGTCACATGCTCGTCCTACCGAGCCAGCCTTGTGCCCCTATTTTCCTTCTTATTCAATTAAAAGGCATTTTCAGGCCTTGAAATTACCCCAGGGATTACATCTGGACACCAGGCAGAGCAGCTTCCAGATAAAAGGATCAAGATTACATGGGTCCAGGGTGCCTGGGTGGCTCAGCCGGTTAAGCCTCTGCCTTCGGCTCAGGTCATGATCCCAGGGTCCTGGGATCGAGTCCCGCATCGGGCTCCCTGCTCTGTGGGGAGCCTGCTTCTCCCTCACCTCCCCACTTGTGCTCTCTCACTATCTCTGTCTCTCTCAAATAAATAAAATCTAAAAAAAAAAAAAAAGGATTACATGGGTCCAAAAGAGCAAATATATGGAAGGTGACAGAGAATGTATTCTTGAATAAAGGTTGCACAGTATGTGACCACACTCCACTAGGCTGGATTCTTGCCAAACATGTTTTGATAGTCACTCGAGAGTGTAACTCTTGGCCCACTCTCCAGGATGTGAGCCTTTCAGAGTTCTTAATAGCACTATGTATCTCAAGATTTCCCCTTATCATCCCTTACCCACCCTCTAGTCTGAGAGCCTGGCATTGTCTTCAAAATCTTTGAAGACATCCTCTTGTTTTTTAGTTTCTTCAACCATTCATTCACCCAACAGTTTCCTGGGCTAGAGATTGAGTCATTGTCTTAGCAACTGGGAACATACACGGGAAACTGAAATACAGACTGCTCTCATGTTGTTTAATATTTGTTCTAGGGTGCCTGGGTGGCTCAGTCGTTGAGCGTCTGCCTTCGGCTCAGGTCATGATCCCAGGGTCCTGGGATCGAGCCCCGCATCGGGCTCCCTGCTCTGCAGGAAGCCTGCTTCTCCCTCTCCCACTCCCCCTGCTTGTGTTCCCTCTCTCGCTGTGTCTGTCAAAGAAATAAAAAATCTTAAAAAAAAAAAAAAATTTGTTCTAGGTGTTCAGGTCAGGTAACAGAATAAGTTGGAAAAATACATGATCTGTTTTCCTGTATTTGTATATATTTATAATGATCAAAGTTTTATTTAAAGTTTTCCTTCTGTATGATTATCTCATATAAAATAGGATGAGACACTTCATTTTTATTCTTCTTCAGTATAAGTTTTTTGTTTTGTTGCTGTTCTGTCAAATAAGGTGGGAACTAAGGCTGATGATTACAGATTACATTGAGGGTCTGCTCTCATATGAGTCCTCTGATGTTGAATACAATGAGGACTCCTACTGAAGGACTTCTTGCCAGTGGGTTCTGTGCCTCCTGAAGCCTTCCTAACACTGATTCCATTCTCAGGTGTTTCCCAGTATGATTGCTGTGATGCTGAGTAAGAGAGCTATGCATGAAATCCTATCCACAGCAGTCACATTCCCTTGGCTTTGGAGTTCTCAGAGGTAATTATTTGGTGTGAGAACTTTTCCACATTTAATACAATTGGGTTTTTTTGTGTTTTTATTTTTTCCAGTATGAGCTCTCTCAAGTCATACCAGAGTGAATCAGGCCAGAAGCCTTTCCAGCTATGATCATATTCCTGGGCTTTCTTCCCTGTTTGAGTTCTCATGTCAAAAAAACTCATGAAAAGAACTTCCTCCATTCAGGGTCTTAGCATGTTAGTCTCCCATGTGAGCCTTTCCTTAAAGCCTGAGTTTAAAATAGGCTTTCTCACACTAAACACATTTATTCAGTCTTGTTCTTAAATAAATTACCCTTTGTATAAAACAACTGATTTCCTACATCCACTACACATTTGCTTTATAGCCCGTGTGAATCCTCTCAGGCTACACAAAGGGTGAAATCTAGAAAAGGATTCCTTCTCTTCCTCCCAAAAAATAATCTCCTTGTAGAAGTTATTTTTTTCTGCTAAAGCTTGCACTAATTTGTGTTGCTACATTCATATTTGTAGGGCTCATCTCTCCTGCTTCATTCCTTGACAGGTGAAGAATTAAATGTCCTGCAGGCTTTCCTATAATCATGACCTTCAAAATAGTGTCTTTACTCCATTGCTTTCCTATGGATTAAATCTAGATTGTATCAAGTTTTCCACCCAAACCACCCATGTGGCAATACTTTCTTGAAAGGACAGAGTGATGGCTAAAGATCTGAGTGCCATCAAATAGCTGTCCACATTCCTTATCTTCACAGTATCTTCCCAAATCAGTGCCTTCTTAAAGATGAATGCTGTGTCTTAAGTGCTTATTACTCAGTGTCCCTTCTACTTCAGCCAATGACCGTGCTGCCATTTTTGCTGTCAGGGAGAGCTGGAGAACCACACAAAATGTGTTGCCTCAGAAAGGCTGAGCTTTCCACTTAAACCCAGTCCCCTGCATTGGGAAGAGTCACCACTACACCAGTGATGGCAGAGAACACTTGGAGATGATGGTCTCATCTTACAGTAAATAAAGCATGCCATTCCAAACACTAATGATTCCCAAGTTTTTATGCCCCACCAGGACTCCTGAAGTCCAGAGAGGTGCATTCCACTGGCTTCACAAACCCCTACCTGGATGTCTCTAAGTCCCTTCTCATTCACACTGCATTAACAGAACCAGTCAAGATCTGGGACAGTTCCACAAACATGAATCTAGGTGAAAGCTGTAAGGGAGTTCTTTTTACTATTCATGTAACTCTCTTTAAAATTACTTCAACTAGGTAAAACAAAACCAAACCTCTATTTCTACCCTTCAAAAGTTTATGCCTTTACCAGATTTCCTCATGTCACTGACTAAAACCAAAAATTCAGGAGTAGTGATTTTTCTCCTTTATTATGCTCCTTTCAAAGTTAGATGCTGGGGTGCCTGGGTGGCCCAGTCGGTTAGGTGTCTGCCTTCAGCTCAGGTCATGATCCCAGGATCCTGGGATCGAGCCCCACATCAGGCTTCCTGCTCAGCAGAGAACCTGTTTCTCCCTCTCCCTCTGCTGCTCCCCCTGCTTGTGCATTCTCTCTCTCTAATAAATAAAATCTTTTAAAGTTAAATGTTGATACATACAAAAAGAATGTATGTGGTAAACACATATGTTACAAATAGTCACAGGAAATCCCTGAAGCCTTTGCCTCTGAGGGATTCTTGGCAGCTTCCTTTCCTTTGGTCATTACTCACCTGACCCCAGTGAATCCACTTATGAACTGGGAGGCGGCCATGCTGGCTTCTCCCCAACCCCCCTGCTACTCTCAGGCCAGGTAGTATCACCTCTTCCCTAGATGCTACCTACCACAGCTCCCTGGCCTGCTTCCACCTGGGCCCTACTATAGTTCTTTCTTCTTAAGCACCTAAAGTGTGCTTGAAAAGCCGTATCACACACCTGCCTGATAACAATCAAAACTCTCCTCAGAGTGAAGGCCCTGTGTGCACTGCCAAACCTAGCTTGCATGTCAGTATACCTCAGTTACCTCCTCCCAGCCCATTCAGTGGCTGTTTTCTGAATGTGCCAAGGTTGTTCCATTCTCATGGTCACCCCAAATGCTGTCTCCACGCCTGGAAGCTCTCTTTACCACCACTCATATGTCTGTAGAATTTTCTTTGGCAATTGGCTTAAAATGTCACTCCTGCAGTGCCCCCCCACCAACCACCTCCTCTGGAGTAGTAATTTCCCATTATCCCCCACATTACATCACATTCTTTTTCGTCTCAGTACTTACCACTACTTATCTGTTCACAGAGTTATATCTGGGGAACTTGTTTGTAAAAGCCATAATCTTTTAGACTACAAAGTCCACAGTGCCAAGGATTATGTTAGGTCTTTGGTTCACTACCGAAGTGTTTAGTATACTACATGGGACCCAAGAGGACTTCCGCAAGTTATTTGTGAGGTGTAACAAGGGGAGGCAGTGGAGGGAAAACAACACGTAAAGGACTCTTTATGACAGAGCAGAGATGAGTCCGGCAACTATTACCTCAGGCACACTCTGTAATAAAGTGTCCCGATAAGCCTCCCTGCGCATGGTCTCTTGCTCTGGGACATCACCTCAGAATCTCCTGTCACCTGTTAAGCCAGTTCTCCCAAGATGTGCAGAACCACAGGTGCCCAAAATCCCTCATGGCAGCTAAGTTCAGGGAACTACTAGATCATACAGAAGTGCAAGGCTGGAAGGTTTGCCAACACAGGACGTGAGCCCAGGAAGGATGAGACACAGACCTGCCAGAACCAGAGCCGCCACACAGGAAGGGACTTTGGAAGGCTGGATCAAGGGGAACACGCAGGAAAGATACCACGGTGGGTGGACACGAAGCGCTTGTGTTGCTGGGGACCTTTCAAGTGAGGTATAGTTTAGTGACCTGTGCTAGTGGTTGGAAGGGAGGTTTTCAAGGTAGGGAATGAAAGGAATGACTCTGAATATGGAATAGAAAAAAACATTAATGCTGAGCCATCAAACTGAATCCAGAAAAGGGGGCAGAGAGTCACAGAGATGCCAGTCTATGCTGTGGCAAACAGAAAAGCATCACGAAAGACGGGTACCAAGTGCAGATTTCATAGCTGAATACTGTTACAAGCAGTAGTTCCAATGTCACTTGCATTAGAACACAGAGAACAAAGGGAAGGAAGAGCATCCAAAGTTTTCTTCACAAAGTCAGCACACTCTGATATAAAAGCTGATTAAGATAAAAAACACAAAAAAGAAATCCACCCACCTCCCCAACCTAATTTATGAATACTGATGTGTGAGTGGATGCCAGCAGCAAGTTACAACAAAGGCACTTCTACGTTTATTAGGTCACTGTGTTAACTGTTCAAAGGAGAAAATCACTATGATCACCTGGGAAGGCTGTGAGAGAATACCGGGGCTATTACTGATTATCATTTATTAGAAAGGGCTAGATGACAATTTCTTTATCCAGATAAAACTGATTTGAATCAAAGCAGAATCCAGCACCATGCTCATCAAAGCTGTTTAGGTCAGACATTCACTTTTCACTCTCTCAGCTTCAGTGTTTTGCAAGTACCAGCTGCGATGAATGTCATTATGGAATTGGGCAAAAGAAATAAAAAAAATACTAATACAGTTGGCTTCTTTATACTTGCTGGTAAAATGACTGTACTGAGAAAATGAGAACCTAATAAGATCACTAATAAGAGAATTTAGCAGCATACCAGGCTCATCTGGATCAACTCTATGAGACTGCAAAGGAAGACTAACATGAGCAGATGAACAGCAACCACAGTGAAAGCCCAACAGCACTCAGAAGGCCTGACATAGCACAATGAGGAGAGCAGATCTCTTTGTATACTTGTGTCAAAACTTGACTAGACAGACCAATTCTGCATCAAGGAATTCTAAATCCAATCATTCTAACAGGATTTTCTCAATGAATCCCAGACAAGCTGATGCTAAGTGTTCATCCGGCAAACCACGTGGCTGAGAACAGCTAAGAATTTTTAAAAAAATGAGAGGAACTCCCATTTATCCAAGTTTGTTATAAAACTACCATACAGCAATATGGTGTTTACTCAGACTGAGATCAAGGAAGCAGAAGGGACCAAGACAGAGGCCTGCACCTGATGAGGACTATGGGAATTTAGTCTATGATAAAGATGGTGTTTCTGATAAGTGGGAAGAATCTAGTCAGAAAATATGTTGAAAGAATTCATGCTCCATGCCACATACATAAATTCCATAGAAGTGCAGCAATTAAACAACAACAAAAAAATACTGAAACACAAGTATTTATAAAATCTTCCTATCTATGATACGAATAGGAATAAAAACAGATTTGAAAGGAAAAATACCTGAATCATAAAGCTTAATGGAGACTAAATTTAAAGGTAGATGATAAATGTTGGTCTGGGATATTTGTATTACTAATACCCATAATTAATATAGAGTTGCCAGCAAAATACCCCACCCAAAAATAAAAACCAACAGAAAAAAACAATGGGGGGGGGTGCCTGGGTGGCTCAGTTGTTAAGTGTCTGCCTTCGGCTCAGGTCAGGATCCTAGGGTCCTGGGATCCAGTCCCACATCGGGCTCCCTGCTAGGCGGGGAGCCTGCTTCTCCCTCTGCCTCTCTCTCTCTGACTCTCATGAATAAATAAATAAAACATTAAAAAAAAAAAAAAAAAAGGGGGCGCCTGGGTGGCTCAGATGGTTAAGCGTCTGCCTTCGGCTCGGGTCATGGTCCCAGCGTCCTGGGATCGAGTCCCGCATCGGGCTCCCTGCTCCTTGGGAGCCTGCTTCTCCCTCTGCCTCTCTCTCTCTCTGTCTCTCATGAATAAATAAATAAAATCTTTAAAAAAAAAAAAAAAAAAGGATCCCAGGGTCCTGGGATCGAGCCCCACGACAGGCTCCCTGCTCAGCAGGAATCTTGTTTCTCCCTCCCACACTCCCCCTGCTTATGTTCCCTCTCTCACTGTGTCTCTGTCAAATAAATAAAATCTTAAAAAAAAAAAAAAAGAAAGTATATGAACTCACAAAAGAAAAAATATAAATGGTCTGTAAATTTATAAAAATATGTGTAACTTCATGAGGGAAATGTGAACTACACTCAACATACTATCAGATCTGCAAACCTTAAAAAGATCATTATAAATCTCTGGTAAGGGGAAAAGCTCTCATGTAATTGAGCAGCTACACGGATTTTAAAGGACTTTAGAGAGCAGTCTGTTGCTACCAGATTATCAGCTTCTATCTCGGTTGATTCTGAAGTTCTATCTCAACAAATCCTACCTACAAAACAAAAAAAAACAAAAAAAAAACTTGAAAGTGCAAAAAAATGTATGCAACAACCTCAAAGACTATCAAGAGGAAAAATCAAATGTGGACTACAAAGTATGTTAAAATGAATGAAACATGCCTGCTTGTATCCAGTAGAACACCCCTCAGTCATAAACATATTTATATACATATGTGCAAACATCTATAAAGTCTGGACAGACACACCAATTACTGGTGATTACATGAAAGAAGAACAGTAGAACAGATGAGCCCCTACGGCCAACCTGCCACTGGCAATAAGTTCCCGTTCAACCAGGCGGT